ACTAGAAAATTCATTAAAACATTCTATTTGTATTGTACTGATGTTCCGTTTTGAATGATCTTCCAATTGCTAACTAGCAATTTAAAAACACACTACCTATATAATGTGTGTCATGTAAGTCACATGTGTTGAGAATGATGGTTGAAAAATTGAATGTACAGTCTGAGGAAGAGTGTTGGACAGAAAAACAGTTAACTAACTTAAATTCAAATGATTTTTGATCATAAGTGAATAGTACTTATGTAAATGAATAATTTTAAATATTATATATTTGGACTACAATCATTATAGGTTTATTATGTTCTATTTGTACTTTGAAATTTATTGATGAAAACACTTCAATTGATTTAAAACTTTTGTATGTTAGTAATTTGCTTCATGACTTACATAAATCTGAGTTATTGTTAGTATTAGTATGAACTGAGTATGTATTACAGTATAGCATCATTTATACACCTCTCAAGGGAATTGAACAAAAGGATGTATAACTAAGACATATAGGTAATTGAAATTTAAGATACAACATTAGATGTCAGAACTCTTTGTTTATGACAGACACATAATATTACAAATTTTAAAAAATGTTTCAATTTTTCTCCTTTATTTCAAAAAACATTATTTTTTAGGCAAAAGTTATTTTGATAATTCATGTACAGTACATGATATAACAGTAATAAATATGTCTACTTTACTACTGACCACTGTTTGAAGTTAGAGTGGTCAGTAGTCAAGTAGACATATTTATTACTGTTATATCATGTACTGTACATGAATTATCAAAATAACTTTTGCCTATTCAAGGTTGATGTGCTACTGAGTGGTATACTATTTTCAACTTTTGCCTTTATGGGATACTACAAAAGCATAGACATATATTGTGATCACATCTATTAGCCAATAATCTGCTACTAATCTTCTAATCTCAGAGATAATACACTTGGTGGAATCAATTTTAAGCATTTTAATTTCAGAAATATGAACTGAAAGAGATTCTAGAAATTCTGAATATATTTTCTAAAAGAATATTGCAATATTTATCATCTTTATTAGAAAGTAAACAATGCATAAATTCCATAATGGATTTAGACATATGAACAAAATACAGTAGAGTATCGATTATCCGACTCAATTGGGGACTGGGGTTGGTTCGGATAACCGAAAAGTACGAAAAAAATCCATTATTAGTGTAGTATATTATTATATCCCAGTAATTAGTATATCACTATTAATCTACTTCGCGTGTAATTTTCATCGATGTTAAGCCTAACAAAAATTTTTTAAAATAATAATCGTGGCTATTGTATCCTTAAAAATTAGAAAATTAAGCCTCATTTAAATACTGGCTCCCTTTTATGTTCGAATAAGTGTTGCCAGCTAAAACACGTAAAAATACTATTAAAGTAGCCAAGACATAGCCAAATATTGTAGCGCCACATCACTAGCGGACATTTGAAATTTGCCGACTAGGACGGTCGGTTAATCGAGGCTCTACTGTATTTCATTAATGAAAGAAAAGGAATATTTTGGGACCAATGTAAAATGATGTTTAAATGTGAAATATGTAAAAAGGTGCTCCACTGTATTACCATAAAATTATTTATTTTCAACTTAACTTATTTAATGTAAAACATTTAATCTTTCACACTACTAACATCTAATCTGTTTTGAATATAATTGAAATCAATCACAGACAACTTTTAAGTGGGAAATATCTGATTTATTTGTTTAATAGCAGATGAAGTGTTTTGAAAATGTACAGTCTTTATTTGAACAAACAATGCACCATGTTTGAATAAGAGTAAAATAGTCAACAGAAATATTTTAGCTGGCTAGGAGGTCTTGACTGAAATGTGTGATGATTAGTTATATTCTAGGAATTCTATGTGTCATAACATCTATCTTTATTAAACTATTAACACTAATCATAAAGTGCACTGAAGGAAAGGACAAAACAAATTGTCTTTTGGCCAATATCATACAATGTATTACTGCTATAATTCTGGTTTTGTTTCATTTTTTTTCATCCAGTCAATAACAATGAGAACTATATTATATAAGTAATGAAAATAGGGAACTTACAGAAATAGCTTTTCAGACGAGGGGAGCCGTGAATATTGTACATAGAATAATTAAAAATTTGCTACTGCTCCTTTAACTGCAGATTAACTCTAAGAGATAATTATTGCTCTCCCTCTGGCTGCAGAACATGACTATGTAAATTGTTTAAAATTTTAAAACATTAAAAAAGTAATAGATGTAAACTTAAATTCATGACAATTGTTAAGTACTGCTAATAATGATGAATTATTAAAATGGTATATGTCAACAATTTTTGTTTTTAATAATATACTCAAAAATCCTATCTAAAAACTTCTGAAATCAATACTGTGGGAAAAATTTTTTATGAAATAGACAAGCATACTTAGAAACTTGGTATTCACTATGACTTGTAGTAAAAGGATAAAGTTATCAAGAAAAGTGAACAATTGGCAGTTTAACACTTTTCTTAACTTGTGTTTAATAAATAAGCAGGATAAATTCTCGATCCAACTTTTGCAGCTTTAGTTCGTACAACTATCGTTCTCTAGCAAATACATAAAGAGTTATAATTTCCACACTGAACTATATAGAATCTATAGATGATGATATTTGAAATGTCTCAAGTTGCATGCGACATTTTTTTTTCATTTCCGCAAATCTTTCCAGTAGTTACGATCGGTAACGGAGTCAGTCACAGAAGCAACACTTCTAGCAGAGTTCTTACAAGGCACGGACCACTTAATTCTCAACGATTTCTTTTAATCTACAATGTCCGTTAGAAGTATCCAACAATATTGTCTTACTTGATACTCCAAGCTGCCCAATAAAGTTTAGGATTAGCTGGCAGTAATAAGTATGACATATAAAATGTTTGTAAGCATTTTCATGATTTACCGTAATTTAAATACACAGTATTGAAGTTCATAGTCACTTTTTAATTTGTCAAAAAATTAACAATTTGACTTTGACAACTAGAAATAGGTTCTATAATATCAACAGGCTTTTAATTTTGGTTTTTGTAAATCAACACAAGAAAACACTCAAGCACAAAAAGAAATTATGTAGGTATGAACAGATATAATGAAACATTCCTTCTGTGGTAATGGATGCACAGTTTCTTTGTATTATATAACTATTTCTTCTTCCTCTCCAAACCTGAAACAGAAATAAATTGGATATGACAAGTGATGTGGAAGTTGCATGTTTATCTTGCTTTCATCACTCCCAAAACATGAATTATGGTGGAGTAAGAAAGTGAGTATAAATTAGACTTAATTTTACTACAGAAATATATGAATAATGTGTCCAGTATTTTTTTATTCCTAGGATTATTCCCCTACTATCAACAAATGTTTCCAATTTATATTCCTTAGGCATCACTTTAAATGGACTTTTTTGCTTTTTTATACAGCAGTTTCAACCCCTTGATTCGATGTATCTTTTTTTTCGTAAGTATTTTCTTCATCACTAACAATATTATCTTTTCTGAAGCTTTCAGAATCAGTTTGGCTACTAATACCTTCAAAGGAAAAACCTTTAGCTGCAGAAGAAGTTGCGGCAGTAGAGACGAGGCCAGCGGTCGAAGTCCTTTTGAGGAAGGCCGTCTGTGTAGGATTATTGCGCGGGTCTACACCACTACGGAAAGCATTAACTACTCGAATCTGTAAATAGAAAAAGTATTTATAGAGAAAGGCAAAGCATAGAAAGCAAGACATTAGAGGCACTAAGAGAATTTGCATAAAGACAGTGATATTTAACAAAATGTGAGTAGAACAAATATTACAAAACAGAAAATTATTGTAAAGTACAATAGAAAATAGTGAGATCAATATTGCACTATGATCAGAAAAGCTCTGATAAGTAAAATGCATAAAAGAGGCCATGCACTGATAATATTCAAAATTTTTCATTTACTGAAATGGATATACTCTTTTATATAAAATGTGTCATAAATATTCATTAAACCATGCCACAAAGTGATATTATTTTAATAAAGTATATTTCTAAAATTGTCTAAAACATGCATATTTTATTTCTGAAAAGCACCAGCATTTTTCTCTTTAAATATTGAATATTGAATTATTAATTATTTTATGCACATAATTTACATACTAACAAATATGTATGTACATATATACACATATACACATTCACACACGTACAAATGCATCCACTCTCTCTCACTATATATATATATATGCATATGTACACATACACACACAAAAAAATTTATGTAAATAAATCATGCAAACTAAAAAATAAAAATGTATAATCAATGAAAAATTTACATAGTATTCTGGTGTTTTGGAACAGTTACAGTTTATGGTTGAAGAAATGCCAACAGAAACCGACCAAAGAATGAAATAATAGTGCATTCAGAATATAGTGCTTCATGACAGTATCTGCTTTAAAATTTAAATATAGATAGTTATATATATATAACCTTAATTCCTTAATTTATTGAAAAAGCACATACGTGCAATTAACAATTGAAAATAAAGCAATCATGCCCAATTATCAACATATAAAGCTCTATATATTACACTAGATGATGATACACATTAAAAATGTAACATGAATTTTTAAAAAGCAATTTGTAAGAAAAAGAGCATAAAAGTATACATTGTATACAAGCTTGCAAATAAAACAAAACATTTAGAGACTCAATAAATAGAAACATTTACAATGCTAAAAAAATCACATACAAAAATAATTTTTAATCTAACATGAATATCCTATTTCTTTATAAAAATTTCTACATAAAAAAAAGGGAATTTTATTTTTGTATACCAATTGATAATTCTTGGAAATTGGAAATCACTTCATACTACTTTCATGAAGATTTATTTTTGAAATTAAAAAATTTTTAAATTAGTTAATTACATCATAATATTAATTAATAACACAATTAAAAAGTTATTGCTCTTTGCTTTATAATTAAAAATAATTTAAAAAAAATACCATTTTGTAATTTATATTTAAACTTTTTTTCAATAAAAACTGACATACCTTATATAAATATTATTAAAATATTAAGTAGAATATATTTAATATATATATTTTTTAAATGTATGTAATTTCACAGTTTCAAAATACGACAATCTGTATAAATGACAACTTTTATTATAGCCTACAATCAGAAATTATACAATTAACTTTTGAAAACACCTTCTTCTATCATAAAATTAAAAGAATATAAATAAAATTTTTGAACTAATTATAAAGTAAAAGTAAATCTTAAAATAAATTAAATTTAAGTTTGAAAATCAAATAAGCTTATCCATTATACATAATTTTTATTCAGTTTAGTATTTGAAAAATACTGTATTTCTATACATAGAGCAACTCTCCTTGAATGTTAGAAACATTTTATAATAGAAAGTCAGGAAACTCAATTTGATGTATTTAATTTCTCTTTATTTACTGAAGTGTTCTATACATGTTTGTCAAATATTTAAGTAATCTTGCAAAAATTCATTCTCTCAGAAATTCCTTTAATATAATATCAAATAATTCAGTATATGATATAAAACAAAACAGAATTAGTTTTTCAGCTGAATAATTTAAATAGAATTAGTTCAAGTATTTGTGAATCATATTATAAAAGTTAGATTTAGGAACTAAAATTGATTAATTAGTAAGACAGACTTTAATACTGAAGTAATATTGAGTCCTTTATTTATGTTAGTTTTATCATTTAAGTAATGATAAAAAAACATGAATTCATGAATAATAAATTTAAAGTTGTCATATAAACTTAAATTGTTATAAAAATCTTCCATAAAAATTATTTATTAGAAAAATAGTAAAATAAAAACATAGCAAACGTTATTTAACATTTAATAAATATAAAATGTAAAAATGCAGTGCATTCACAAAGAATAAAAACCTTTGTCTTTGCTTTTCCTTTCTGTCATTGCACACCATCAGTAGTCCATTAATTAAAATTTACAAAAAGGAATGGCGATGACTTTCCTTTTTAGGCTACTGCCTCTGCAATAAAACATGCAAATAAGGTAAAATGTCCTCTGGTATTTTGCACTATCACAGTGTTACTTTTCTAAAAAGTAATACTGTGATAGTGGCGAAATCAGAGGACTTTTTACATTTATTAAGATTTATTTATTTTTGTATTTTGATATATCATTTAATTTGAGTGGCTTAGGTAAATTTCATGTATTTTTATTAATACAGTACAGTAAAGCAATGTATGTATTATTACAAACTTTTGATGTTAGCTGTAACTGCAAATGGACACACACATTTAAATATTTTCTTAGACATGTCAATAGTTGAATACCAATGTCAGTACTTGTTTAACAAAAAATCAGACAGGCATCTACTGCATGTGTTATAATCCATCTAAGTATTGGCATACATAGGTGTCTTTAGAATTCTCAAATGATACATCATAAACAGCAAATCATCATTAATTAAATTCTGCATCAAACTTTTTACCCACGCTCGAGTCTGACTCGAGCGTGGTCCTTAGCGTTCCAAAAAACCGGTCCTTAAGGCCATTTAAAAAAAAAAATTTTTTTTTGATGTTTTTTGTCTCCAAATTTTTTTCCCGCGCAAAAAANATCATCATTAATTAAATTCTGCATCAAACTTTTTACCCACGCTCGAGTCTGACTCGAGCGTGGTCCTTAGCGTTCCAAAAAACCGGTCCTTAAGGCCATTTAAAAAAAAAAATTTTTTTTTGATGTTTTTTGTCTCCAAATTTTTTTCCCGCGCAAAAAATTTTTTATCGCGATTTTAATGACGCGTGATTAACAATTAATTGTTTTTTAATGGGAGTTTTTTATCAAATTTCATTCATGGTTCCTAAGTTGTAGTGCACGGATTTGACTTCGGTAAAGTTATTTAAAGCTAGTTTCTGATGTCACTAAAACATGCATATTTTATTTCTGAAAAGCACCAGCATTTTTCTCTTTAAATATTGAATATTGAATTATTAATTATTTTATGCACATAATTTACATACTAACAAATATGTATGTACATATATACACATATACACATTCACACACGTACAAATGCATCCANTTCGGATGTTAAACATATTCATCTTTATTTAGATGAATATGTTTAACATCCGAATACACAAAAATTGGTTATACTCTGATATACATCCGAATATACAAAAATTGGTTATACTCTGATATACTTGCTGTTTCCAATAACAACAACATAATTGCCTGCCACCACATGACTTTTTATCCATAATTCCAACAGCTATGGGTGACCTCCATTTAGTTAGCCATTCACTAACAAAAATAAAAGCAGTGAAATGAACAATCAAATTCATTTCAAACAGCAGAAAGTTTCTTTAAAATACAATGTGACTGATAACAATGAATTGTTTTTATGCTTACTTCAACCATTTATTTATAAAAATGATTTTAAAAATTAATTATAATAATTATAAGGATATAATTAGAAAGTACAATCTTCATGGTTGGTGTATTTAAATCCCTTTATATTTTACATCCAGAAAGTCATCTTGATTAGTGGAAAACAGTTTAAGCAAGCAGAAAAATTTGTTGGCACAGCTGATGCAATATTTGCCTCTCTCTCTGGTAGTGATTCATTCTGTATGAACTATATGCTTAAAATTAAATAGAATGTAATTCTACTGTCTTTAATAAAAATAATAATAATAGTTAAAATAAACTCAATTATTATATATAAAGAAGATACAATGTGATGTCTAAAAATTTTGTTCTTCAGCAAACTCATTCAAAATCATGCTTTCTTACATAATAAAAAAAATGATTATAATAGTCAGACCATCCAACAGGATGCAGTGATTCAGTTTTATTTATGCAATTATTTAGAAAACACAACACACAATTTTACTATTCTTCTAACTCAAAAGTCATTTTAAATATAATATTCAATATATATAAATGAGGATGTTTGTTTGTTCGCTATACACTCCTAGGCTATTCACTAATTGTTGCCATAAAAGTCAGCAGTTACTTTCAAATACTCCTAACTTAGATAATGTATTATATTCCACCCCAAAATATCAATCTGATTTCTGTAATTCAATTAATTTCTATCTACATTTGATTTGCTGGCTTTACACATAGTGCCATCCATTGGCAAAAAATTTAAGAAAATAATAAACTAAATACAGTTCTTACAAAAAAAAAAAGGATATACAGTAATTTAAAAAAAAATATATTACATTCACTTAATAACTGTGACAATGATACAGCACAGAATAGATGCACTATACCAGTGATGGGCAAACTGACCATCGTAGAGATTCTATCCAGCCTGCTGCAGATTAATTTTAAATATTTTAATAATTTTAAAATATTAGTATAGAACTTTCAATTTTAATGATTAAAAAAAAAATAAGAATGTGTTCCATTTTTGCATATGCAAACTTTCAGAAATGCAGTCACAGCATCATTCATCACATTAGTATTAAAGAATCTTCAAAATATACTATTTATTTGAGTCTTTATTGCATTTTATAATAAGAAAAAAATTTTGGCAAGCCAATATAATTTTTGTTTTTTGGTCAACTCCTAAAAACGTTTGCCCACAAGTATTTAATTTTCCACATATAACAACTTGGTGTTTTCATTTCTAAATAGTACTTTTTTAATTCTAATAAAGCACCCTTCAGTATCCAAGTGGATAA